ATCAGTAAATTAATTCAAGTAGTAAGTGGAATTAACTACATATATCTTTCTAACAGCATTCTTTAATTACTGCGCATACCAGTAGATTCATATAACGACTTTCTGACGACCCCACACTCTATTTTTTGTCATTTCTTGATATAGTTGCTATCGGGTCGTCTGAATATGGCGATTATGCCATTTTTAACAATAGACGTCGACGGTATACAGAGTGTCCCTAATCGGGTCTATTTAGCCTGTAGACCAACAATAAAACTAACAACAGAACTAGTATTAAAATTTGATGTCGAACCTACACCAGACTTTAGAATGAAGGTCAAAATATGGATATTCCAACCAGAAGATTAAGCGACTCTCTCTTTTGGTTCAATAGCCATGTTTGGATCACCTATGAACTGCTTTGTGTATCTACTGACGTCTCTACTTCAGAATATTTTAGAGATTCCTATGTCAGATTGCTTTTATGGACAATGATCTGGATTCGTCGTTCCTGTACCCACTAAAAATGGCGTCAAATAGATATCATCTACTCGTGTAGTATTTGAGTTAGTTTTTGCACGCTCTAGTATCTTTAGAATTGGACGACTATGGAAATCCTCGTACCTTGATATAAGGGCGTAGAGAAGAATGAGTAGATATCAGTGAAAAACACGCAAGACAGGGTTTGGCTTAAGAAAGTCGCCGTTGCATCGCATCGTTCCGACCGACCGCGTGACCGGTCTATAAATATTCTGTTATAACGGCGAATGTAGGGAAAATCTTTGCTGTGTGAAATGTGTATTTTTAGTTGCTTGAAAGTACTGATGTTGGAAGCGTATAAATATACTGCTACCAATAAAATGGGATAAACTTTTCCCCACTCACTACAATTCCCGATTTTTAACCTCTACAGAATGTTTCTGAAAATGTTCTGGAGCATCTGAAATGTCAACAAACGAAGTTTTGAAGATTTTTTTTTTTCGTGTTTTTGTCCCTAGCTGGACCGATTTTAAAAAAGTTCGTCTTTGGCATAGTAGTAACCTTGTGTGAAAATTTCATCAAAATCCGAGTTATAGGACGTCCAAAGATTTTCGAACAGACTGAGGGACAGACCGACCGAAATAATGGACATGGTTTTTGTGTTGTACTGTCATATAACATCCAAAAAACATAATCTTCTTTCCGAAAATTTTCGCAATTACAATACTTCCTCGCCACTATGCGTGGGAAGTAAAAATTTGCATGTATCTGAGTCAATTTTGCAGTGTTATAGACTGAATGTAATTGAATTTTAATTTCAAACTTTATTGAAAAAATTGGCTTTGATATAAATTGTCAATAATCTCTGGACGACTTTTGTAGGGGCTGGTCATCCATCGTCGACGATGACACTGCGCCCTGGACAGCGACGGCGTTCGAGGATTCGGGATCACAGCTTCCTGAGCAATAAAAAGCATGCAGCATTTACAGCTTCCGTACCCCCTACAACTAAGCACCAGAATTTTTCTGAGAATGATCAAGAGTCTGTGAAACGTAGAAATGTATGAGCGACTTTTTTCATTTTTTGCCTCTAGCTCCGCTACCACTGAATTTATTTTTAAAATCTACAAACCTTTTTTGTCCTTGGTATGGTAGTGACATTGTGTTGAAATTCCATCAAAATCTGAGCGGTAGTTTCAAAGTTATAGTAGGGGCAATGAATAGCAGGCAGACAGGGTTTTTCCTACTTGCTATTTAACATCAAAAAACCTATTCTCTCTTATTTCTTTCCTAATACAATACTTCCTCGCCTATAGCATGTGAGGTAAAATGGGACCACTCCGTACAAAAACACTAGTAATTGTTTTCATATCTATGAACGATAGTTGAACGAACTTTGATGTGTCTGAAGAGGTGGGCTGAAATTTTGCCTTGAATTGTTAAAATTATGGTTTCAAGCTATTAAAAAGGTGACTTTTGTATCCGGTGAGAATATATTTAAGCAAATATTTGAATGCTCGTTTTTGCATGGATAATCATTCGCAGGTAAATACCTATTTTCAAAAATGGTAAGGATAAGTATGTTTCTCGAGACATCGTGGATGATAATTAAGATACCTGCAAATCAAAGAAAAGTATAATTTATTTACATAAAAGATGTTGGTGGTATTAGTCGTGATATTTTTTTTCGAACAGATAATCCGCACAGTATATAGGAATCGTTTAGCAAGCTAACATAAATAATAGTTTAGGAATGCAAATTCTATATGAAGTCGTTTTCTGGAGACAATCTTTTGCTAGAGCTTTCTATACCTATTTTGAGATAGCTATGATTGGTGGACCACCTTTCATCATAGATTGTTTCTTAAGAGGACTGGGTAAACGTATTCGGGAAGTTTGACCTTTAAATTATGTATCAACCACCTCCTTTCCTGTACGATCAATCCGATCCACAGCTTTGTTAATGACAAACATCTACATGCAGGAATTCAGAGTGCCAAGTCGATTTCTGCCGGTGAGTGGGAGAGAAGATTACAAGCAACTCCGTCTCTAACGAGAGATCTAGAGGTTAAAATTGCTTGGGAACGCAATAATATGGTGCATATAATGATCCAAAACACAGTTCTGTTATCTTGGACTAACAAGATCCGCCACTAATGCTCATCTGGTTTCGATGGATGGCCGGTTCTACCAAAGAGGCGTTCATTTTGGCTTATCAAGGACAAAGAAACTTTGTTAGTCCGATGTTTGAACTGCCCAAGGTTAGTTGAACTGGGAGAAGCCTCGTCTTGTAGATTGTTCCGCAATCTTGACACCCTAGGATGGGAGGCGGAAGTCAGGCGGGTCTGACAGGTATTCACATCGAGTGGCAGCATCATGGAGGAAAACTCTGAGGAACACAGCCCATTGGTGTAGCGGTAAAGAGAGCTAGATCGCCAATGTCCGCCGGTGCGAAAGTGTCCTGAGAGTATCTGTTAGAACAAATCTTCTCTGAACTCTTCTCTGAACAACATCGAGCAAGGATAATGTAGTCGGGGCGACAGCACACCAAACATTTAAACAATAATGGAGGATAGGTTGTATCTAGGACTTGTATAGAGTGAGGAGGTCATGTGGGGAAAATACTTCCGATCCCTAGTAAACCCTCACGTCGACGTTTTGGGTTGAAGAGGAGAACCCGTCAATTACGACGGATATCTTGCGGCCAGAGAGGAAATCAGCCACCCATCTGCAAAGCTTCTCTGAGAGGCAATGGACGCAAGTTTGCATAAGAGGCCAGCATGCCACAGCTAATCGAACGCTTACGTCATATCAAGAGCAACGACATGAGCCTCATCATAGGAGTGGATGAGCTCACTCCACAATTGCGTGATGTAAGCTAGGAGGTTTAATGTGGATCGCAGGTGCCGAATACTGTCTGTCGCTAATCAAGCCGTGACGTTCGAGGTACTCCAGAAGCTCGCGATCTATGCACCTCTACATCACCATTACTTATAACAGAAAGCAGAGCTATAGTCCCGTAGTTGTAAGGGCCGGTCCAAGATCTCTTCTTGGAATAGGTTGACATGAGAAATTTCCAGTTTTCGGGAAGGTGCCGGATTCGTAAGACATCTGGAAGAGACGTGAAAAGAACTGGAGAATCTCCGCTGCACACCTCTTCACACCTCCTCAATCCAACGGCAGGAATCAAGTACAGACCAGAAGCTTTGTTGTTGTCGAGCGGTCTTATGCCTGAATGTTACTTTCAGCTTAGTGCTGGTCCTTTGACAGTGCGGACCGCTTCGTTATATTTACTTGATCCGTCACGAACACACCTCGTCAATCGTGACAATTGCTGGGAAAGAGCTATGCTATTTGTTTAGGGCTAGCAAGTAATTTTCTCCACATACCTCCTCATGTTGTTCAGAGGAGAGTTGTCCAACTAATCGATGACGCTTCTATAACAGACCGTCGGGGGGACCATTTCGCACCCACAGCTATGTTAACGGACATTGCGCCTCGAAGGGCGCTTCTCCATGATGCCGCCGCGCCATGTGCCTACTAGACAGATGCGCCTGACTTCGGCCTCCCATCCTGTCGAACTTCATACATCCTGAACTGCCCAGTACGACCACTCCTTTCTTCATAGAGTGTCCAAGATTGTGGAACAATCTACCTGAGAAGGCTTGTTCCTAGTTCTGCTAACCTTAGGCAGTTCAAAAATCGGATTAACTAGGTCTTGTTAAGCTTTATAGAACAGCCGTGGTACCCTTTTATTTAGACTTCTGCCTATGCGGCGAAGTAGAAATGCATCCAAATAATATGACTTTATTTGTTTGAGGAGAGTGTCCGCCCCCAGAGCAAACCAAACAGCTCAATCTACGCGACTGTCGACCTCCTTTGGCTGGGGTTTTTCGCTCATAACAACCAATGACCCAAGGCGACGACATCCGCCGTGGCGCTACCTACGACGCGACATCGCCACTTCACGGTGCGCTTTTCACTCTCCTTGTCTCCTTCTACGCGGCTTTGCCACCTGACTTTTGACTTTGACTATTCACCTGTACGCGCCGTCGTCCACCGTCGGAGGGGCTCCTTGCAAACGGCTCGTGACACGCGACTGTTTGCTCCGCACAATCCGCGAACGCACACTCGGTTTGTTTACCCAGGTCGGTAACTCGCGAGAAAGATTAACTATTTTCTTCGAAAAAAAAAGAATATTTGACATGAAAATTATCTTCAATCTTTGAGATAGATATACTTCGACCATATCGAGCATTACGTGAAAGTTATATTTTCTTCGAAAACAAAATAAAGCTTTTGTTAAAGAGATACGTTAGCTTCAAGCAGTGATAGGAAAATGAGTTGTCTAGTGTTCTGCAACTAGGACACAAGCTTTTTCCACAAGCGACTCATCACGATAAAATGCCATTGGGGTTGGTTTACAAGATTACTAGGTGAGTACCTATAGATGTTAGCATTTTCTGTAGGTATTTGAGAAGAAAACTATCTTCAATCGGTGGGATATACTTCGACCATATCGGAAAGTTCGTGAAAGTTATATTTATTCGAAAACAATTTGAAAACTTTTGTTAAAAAGTGACGTTAGCTTCAAGCAATGATAGGACAATGAGTTGTCTAGTGTCCTGGAATTAGGACACAAGCCTTATTCCACACGGGACTCATCACGATAAAATGCCATTGCTTTTAGTTTATGAGATTACTAGGTGAGTACTTACACGTGTTAGCCTTTTCTCTAGGTATTTGACAAGAAAGCTATGTTCAATTGGTCAGATACTTCGACCATATCGAAAGTTCCGTGAAATTTATATTTTCTTCGAAAACAAAATAAAACTTGATAAAAAGATACGTTAGCTTCACGCACTGAAAGGACAAGGTACTCATCATGATAAAATGCGATTGGGGTTGGTTTATAAGATTACTAGGTGTTAGCATTTTATCTAGGTATTTGGACAAGACACAATCTTTTTTCCATAAGGGACACATCACGATTAAAATGCAATTGGGCTGGTTTATAAGATTACTCGGTGAGGACAGGTGCTCTAAGTATTTGAAAAAGAAACTATTTTCAATGTGAGATTGTACTTCAACCATATCGAAAATTTCGTGAAAGTTATATTTCCCTCGAAAACAAAATTTAAACTTTGACAAAGAGACTATAGCTCCAAGCAGTGATAGGAAAATTAGTTGTTTAGTGTCCTGAAATTAGGTCACAGGCCTTTTTCACAAGCGACGCATCATGATAGAATGCCATTGGGTTGGATTATAAGATTACTAGATTACAGAATTAAAGCCAAAAATTAATTTTATTTACAAGCCCACTGATTTTCAGTCAAGTTTTTCCATATCTACCTTAATTACCAGAAGCATCCGAAAAATTCTCTATAATTCTTACTTCAGGAGTATAATTTCGTCATTTTATGAAAGGTTTCGCGTATCTTGGTCACGTATACATTATCTACAAGTATATTCTTATAGTATACAAAAAATCCGCTGGCCGTAACCGAAAAGAATTAAGCTTCATTTATTAAACTTCGCCACTTCAATATTTTAAAATTTTAGTCTACTCAGTGCCACTCGCACTTGCCAAGACAAATCTGGAGGACACCTCCGATGTCAAAATTCGTCAAGCCGTTAAAGATTCAATCCGTAGAATAGGAACGGCAAAGTTGATTTTCAATCAAAATTCGTTATTTAGATTTTTAAAAATTTTGATATACCCAGTCTCACTCGCACTGTCGAAACAAACCTATCTTGCCGTTTAACCTGTAGCCTATGTGGTAAATTTACCCCTTACATGAGCTGGGTGTTCAAGTCAGTGATGAAGTTATTCTCAGTTTCATCTGCGGTATCTGTAGACTAAATGCTAACGTATAAACACACGCTATGCATGCACCGAATATGAACAGCAACTGCCGGCGTCGGCATGCCGGCGATACCCCGATCATGAGTTTTATCCTTTCGAATCCTGCTCTTGTTCGTAGTTTTATAGCCGAATGACCAATAGCTATTGCAACGCTTAGGCGGCTGCCGTTTTGCCGCGCTGCATCTTTGTTGTGCCGGGGCGTAAATGGACTACGAATAGGGTATAGGTATCCTTTAGTTGTTTTTTGACTTTTCTGTTACTGTAATTTGTGTTGATTTATTTTGTGTTCGTTCATAATTTAGGTTATGCAAAGATACTCTTCAGATTAAACGAGCTGGAAAAGAAGAAATGTTTTAACATTCAATATGATTTTACATCACTTTGAACCAAACGGAAATATTCAGTAACCATGATGGTTTTGTGCATTTGTGATTCAACGCTTTGAGAGTGTTTCTGTGATGTTGAAATGTTTACTATCATGAAGAGATCTCATACTACACATTTCACTAATGAAGAGAAAATGCTTTTGCTGGTATTTACATTTTTTCGTCAAGTTTATCGATCCTCATGGAGCTATCCATTGTCTGGAAGTACTTTTGTCGCTCGTAAATTTGTCTAGGTAGGTATACCAATCTACAACAATTCCAAAGGAATCATCATCCTCAAATTCTTCATGCGTATTTAGGCCCATACAAAAAGGCTACCAAATTATTAGGGTGATTTGTAGACCTTTATAGGCCATTCTGTCGCATGTATGATGAGACTTGTCGGTAAGTGTAAACATTCAGATTTGAACTATATCGCTGCATCGAGATTTTGAACTAGAAGTCTAGTTAAACGTAAGCAAGAAGTTAATATATTAGTTTATGCTTCATTGTGAATAACAGTAGAGCCTCTGAAAGTATAAGGCGATTTTTTATGTTACGTATGATAAGCATGACTTTTGAAGGTTATATTAATTTATTATCTATATGAAGAAGGAAGATGAAAATTAAGTTGCGTAAGATTCTTCAGTTAGAAAAGCATAAATTATTTAAAAATGTATGTACTTATGCAGATGGGTTGCATCATCAACAAATAACTCAAAGGTTAACTCATGTAGATGTAAATATTCTTTTATAAATATTATAGAAGTTAATTCTACACCACAGAAATATTATTTCATGTGGAACAGAATTAACAAATTAAGAGCGAATACTTGCCTAATGATCAGAAAATATAATGTATGTACTTTCACTAGTTATTCCAGAGATAACAGTTTTGCTACGGCATGGTTACTGAACAGTATTACCAAAGAAAGCATTTCTATAATATGAGACCGAGAGACACACCTATGCATGTGCCATAGCCAGCCCAACAACACGAAAATCCATTCAAAGGGGAGAGTCGGACGTTTATAGCTAATATAAGGTGAACTCTGCTAGTCACATCACCACCTTTTTAACAGTTTTGGATGGGTAATGATCCAATTTTGGGTAACATCTGGGGATAATGTACAACTGAACCTAAACGTTGTGATTTTGGCAGATCGCTTAGGCCGTCAAAGTAAGCACGGAAATCAGAGTATACATTCCCGATAGTTCTTCAAGCGTTGAATCCGAATCCGTAATCCAAATTTCTCAATTAGCTGAATTTTACGAAGTATCATAATCTAAAACTGTAAAATTAGCGATTTTTGTTTATGTTTGAGATCATGTAGCATAAGTGAATTATTTTTTTAAATAACCATGGACAGTTTCTTAAAGACGAAGCCTTTCAAGTGTCGTTTAGTTTACTTAAATATCTTTTACTTTCGATAAGATATGACACTTTGAAATTTTCATTTTTCTGATCTGGATTGGTAGGGTTTTACGAAAAAATGTATATACAGAGTGTCCGTCAAATTGGATTTTCTTAGTAGTATATACACCAATGCCTTAAGAGAACCGAGATATTGGGCTCCGCAAACTCAATCAAACCTGAACCAAACCGAAGCCGGTCCTGTCCTATCCCTCGATCACGTTCACAGCGCCAGCGTACAGTTATACGACGTGACGTACGACTACGATGCAAATACGGATTTTACGACAGAACCGTACTTGGAATTTCAATTCAACTGAACAATGAGTATTTTTTCATTTATATCTTTTACTTGTTCGTTCACGTTTCACCACACATTAGCTTTGTTATATCAAGCGTAGTTCTGTCTGAAAAGGAAAACCCCAACTTTGCGGTCACCCTGTATTGTCAACAAAATCAGTAAAATGTAAGCTTGTGCGCTAAGTAGCCGCTAGTGTGCCGCTATTTCATTCCGTGTCTACTATAAGTGAGCATGAAGTGAATGTCAGCTAGTTCAAAGGTGACATTTCACAGGAAAACGTACATGTCAAAACAAACCAACAATTGTAAAAAATCAATATAACATCAAGTTACGTAATACCGCTGTCGGTTAACTTTTATCAAAAGAAAAATTTGAAAAAAATGTGCCTTCCAAAGTAAGATCGCTAAATTTGGCCTTGATAGGGTAGGGTGGGTTCTTGGCTTTGGTAAGGTTTAGATATTTTATGGATCCAGTGTTGAAGATTTATGGATTTTTTAGTTGGCAGGTTTTATTTCATTAAAATACATTATCTTGCTATTAAATTTTTTTTGAACCATAATCCAAAGCACAAGTCTGATCCACAAGTAATCATAACGTGTAGAGTATCAAATGCAGTGGAATTCAGAAAAATTACATGTCATGGGGCCATATCTCAGTGAAAAAAATGTATAAGCAAACTCAACGGCATTTGAAAGGGCAAAGCTTATACTTTCGGACGATGTCTATGCTTTTCAGGGAAAAATATAGTTGATCATGTTACATAACCTCAAATACGGGGAAAATCGTTATTTTGCACTTTCAGGTTAGGGTATCTTGGAAACTAGAGCAATTTGAGATATTTGAAACACGGATTCGGTTTTAGCGCAACAAAACCAGAACAAGCATTGCAAAGACACACTACAAAGTAATACAATCCATATAGCTACCGCTGCATCAAGACAGACAAGACAATAAATATGTGCATTCTACAACACTGATACCAAGAAAAGAAAAAAGAACATGCTGTTCAGAATCCAAATTAACTCCTATGTAAATGTAAATCAGAATGATTTGTATTAGTGGCTTCTTAGAAGGACGACAGCTCTCAGCCATTGTTTGTGTTTACCTAACAATCCCATTTTTATACACCTCTTGACCGGAACTAGGCGTTTTGGTTGCCTAGTCGCCTGTACGATTGAAGTAAATCAACATGTTTCAGTCAAGGTTCTTACCAAGCTTCTGATTCTGCAAATTAGATATGTTTAGGAAGTGTATAGTACGTTACAACCAAAAAGTATAAGACGGAGTAGGACCCTAGGAAACCAGGACGATATTAGCGTTTGAGAAATTAGCCTCTTTATTCATTCAAAGGTCATCTATACCATTTCAGTTTCAGTCTCCAGACATTGTATTCGCTGCCGCTCAAGTAAAAAAACTGTACTGGTCTACGAAATTGATGCATGAATTTTAGAGTCAATTTGGCCGTTAAACATTACGGATGGCCGCCATCTTGGAACACTTCTTAAATGAAACGGAGAGTCTTGTGATACCTGATTTTGGAACTCCTTGGGAGATATACAATCACTATATTTCAAAACGATTTGCCGGGCTGTTAAAGTTGACCGTTTTTGTACATTGGGTCGCTTATAACTCAACAATCAATCATCAAAACACTATAGTATATCATATCCAAAAAAATCTACTTAAAAATGTGAAAATATTGTCATTGTTTAATATGGATGTCTCATATTTTAGCACACATTCAGAAAAGAAAAATATTA